GAAAGAGAGTAGGGGGAAGACTGACCTGTATCAGGGCTCCAGATGAAAGCCAAATGAAAACGTCTTATGCTTCTTACAGATTCAAAGCAGTTTTAGATTGCTGATAAACTTTCTCTGCCCCTTTAAATCAGGCACAAATGCATCAGCAGCAGACCAGCTCAGCTTGGCCCTGGCCTGGAACAGAGTGGACATCGCTCGTAATCACATTTTTGTTTATGGGCACAACTTACCAGTGAGTGGTCCTCACACATTAACCCGTTCATCCAAATGTTTGACCTTCACAAATTTACACATCAGATATAGTGTTCCCTGCAGAAGGAAAGAAGTTGGTTTAAAGAGCGGTTCAGTGGGTTAAGAGCTGCAAACAACTTTGTTTTCCCTCTGCTCAGCCCGCCGGAGCCATCGCCAACACCACGACGTTCACATTTCAGGAAAAAACCAAAAGCCCAGTCAGTGCTCCTCGCAACAAGATTCGGGCCAAAAAAGGAAAAGGGAAGGGAAAGGCAAAACCAGAACCTCCAGAAGAAACCGACCCAAGGAAGCTGGAGCTGATCCGCTGGGTAAGAACAGGACTTGAAGAAACGTTTGGAGGAAACTGAAAAGTTTCGTTTCATAATTTATCGTCCGTCAGGTGAATTCTCTGGAGCAGGCTATGATGGATGCTCTGGTGCTGGACCGAGTGGACTTTGTCAAGCTTCTGCTGGAAAATGGAGTCAACATTCATCATTTCCTCACTATTCCTCGTCTTGAGGAATTATACAACACAGTGAGTAGAACAAACAATATATTCAAATGTTAGGTCTAAAATCTGTGAGAATACCATGCAGCACAAACCCTCGTCTCTCTTTACTTGTTTCAGAAACTTGGCCCAGCGAATACACTGCACGTGATAGTGAGAGATGTCAAAAAGGTGAATTTGAACAAATCCACATGCATATAATCTGATTTCAGTCTCTTTTAGCTTTAATATCATACTGTGTTTTATCAATTTCTGCAGGGAAACCTTCCCCCTGATTATCAGATCACTTTGATTGATATTGGTCTGGTTCTGGAGTACCTCATGGGAGGAGCTTACAGGAGCAACTACACAAGGAAGGCTTTCCGCAACCTGTACAACAACCTGTATGGACTAAAAAGGGTATGCACGGATCAAGAAAGAGAAAAGAGCTTTTTAAGAAAATGGATAACATTTGACTGATTTTTTTTCTTGCAGCCAAAAGCATTGAAGCTCCTGGGAATGGAGGTAAGAAAAATAGACTTTAAAAACAGCCATGGCATGAAATTTCATTGCTTATTTAAGGAAACTGTTTTGCAAGGACGATGAACCGAGGCCAAAAGGTAAGAAAAAGCCCAAAAAGAAGAAAGAAGAAGAGGTGGAAATTGACGTGGATGACCCTGAGGTGTGTCGATTCAAGTATCCCTTCCATGAGCTGATGCTGTGGGCGGTGCTGCTGAAGCGCCAAAAGATGGCGCTCTTCCTGTGGCAGCGTGGAGAGGAGGCCCTGGCTAAGGCTTTGGTGGCTTGTAAACTGTACAAGGCCATGGCCCACGAGTGTTCTGAGAGCGAGCTGGTGGACGACATCTCCCAAGACCTGGAGAACAACTCCAAGTCAGTAATACAGTCTCACAAAACACACACGACGACCTTTAACCTCTCAGCATCTTAGAATGTCATTAAAAGTGTTTAAAAAAACATGTTGCTTACTTCATTGCGTCTTCTCTAAAGAGAGTTTGGACAGCTGGCTTACGAGCTGTTGGACCAGTCCTACAAGCACGATGAACAAGTGGCCATGAAGCTGTTAACATACGAGTTGGTCAACTGGAGCAACTCCACCTGTCTGAAGCTAGCCGTGGCTGCAAAACAACGAGATTTCATCGCTCACACCTGCAGCCAGATGTTGCTCACTGACATGTGGATGGGCTGCTTACGGATTGGGAAAAGCCCAGGCCTCAAGGTGGACAACCTTCATGTCTCAGCCATTATAATGGATAACTGACGACGTCAAAATAACTAATAAACCCGATGATCATTGTACATTCTGATATTTTCTTTAGGTTATTCTGGGAATTGTTTTTCCTCCGTTTATTCTGCTGTTGGATTTTCGCATTGGAGATGATGCTTCCTATCATGGACCTGGAGACAAAGAGGAGGGAAAAGAAAAGGATGAAGATGCAAAGTCCAGCAAGGTCCTGGTTCACGTTTTCACAATCAGACATCGAGAAGATTAACATGAGAGGTCACAAGCTGAAACTTTGCGTTGATGTTGCAGGATCCCAACACTGATGCAACTTCCCGGAAGGGGGATGAGGAAGAAGGCAGCGCTGATGTTCGTAAAGTTCCCGTTGGGAGAAGGTTCTTTGAGTTTTATGATGCACCCTTCACCAAGTTCTGGTTCAACACTGTAAGTCTCCATCAACAACTTAAAAAACTCAACGTTTACAAAAACGTTTTCTAATTTTAGTTTAACTTCATTTCTACACTAGATTTCCTATCTGGGTTATTTGATGTTGTATAATTATATAATCCTGGTGAAAATGGAGAGATGGCCATCCATACAGGAATGGACTGTGATCGCTTACATCCTCACTCTTGGAACTGAAAAAGTCAGACAGGTATATGATCCAGTCTTCTTGATATTTCTCAGTGTTTACATCCATGTTGAACTCACCTTGATCTACACATCCTGGTGTCCAGATTCTGATGTCAGAACCAGGGAAGCTAAAGCAGAAGATAAGTGTGTGGATGGAGGACTACTGGAACATCACTGACCTGGCTGCCATTTCCACCTTCATCCTGGGGCTGATGCTACGCCTGCACCCTGAGCCGTACATGGGATATGGCAGAGTTATCTACTGTATAGACATCATCTTCTGGTACATCCGTGTTTTGGACATCTTTGGAGTCAACAAATACCTGGGACCATATGTGATGATGATAGGAAAAATGGTAATGACCTTTAAGTCCTGAGAAAAGGTCATAACAGATTTTTTTAAAGTTTTTACTGGGTTCTAATATGTGGCTGTTTCTTTTGCATCAGATGATTGACATGATGTACTTTGTGGTGATCATGCTGGTGGTGCTGATGAGCTTTGGTGTGGCTCGACAAGCCATCCTTCACCCAGACGAGGAGCCAACGTGGCGCCTGGCCCGAAACATATTTTACATGCCCTACTGGATGATCTATGGGGAGGTTTTTGCAGACTCGATAGACCGTAAGACTAGAATTCATAGTAAGATTCTGTTTCCTGATTCTGGGCAGATGATCAGCGCTTATTTAATTCACATTTCTTCCATTCTCTAACATTTGCAACCCTGTAATTTCAGTATTTTGTCTCCCTCTGCTGGTAGAATTGTAATGACTTACTGTGCATCTATGATGATGTTGCACAGAAACTGATGGAGTAACATTGATTTTGAAAGTTATGATCATCTGCCTTAAATTTTTATTGTCCTGTTAGTGCTTGTTCTGTCAAAGAGAAGATGTAAAAATAAATGCAAGGAATGGCAAGTAAAATGTAAACAAAACAGACTGTACTGATTTTCCAATCATTTAAATCAATATTTGATAGAAACGAATCAAAACAACCATTCTAACACAATAGGTCTTAATGACATCAACGTCTCTTGGGGGGTATGGAGCAGTGGCGGATTTAGCAATTTGGGGGCCCAAGGCGAACACAGACATGGGGCCCCCTTACACAAATTTTTCGACAATCTTATCTTTAACTGAATTTGCGAAACTCTCCCCTCTTCTGACACGAGACATTTTGACTTTTTAGTAGCCCCCCTCTTTCTCTGACTTTGAGTGCCTTCAATATTTGCTCTGCTTTCTTCTTCCTGTCAGTGCTCCTGTGCTTTTGCCTTTCTTATTTTTTTCCCCCCCATTTTGGTCTGTTTTCCTCCCTTTAAACATTTTCCATTCTTTTCTTTTCTGCTTCCTTTTGATGTTCACATTGAAAAACAATGTCACTTTTGGAAGTGAAGATAAAAGCTTTTTTAAAGCAAGCTGCTTCTTTCTCTTATTGGAGCCACTAGGATAACTCTATTTCATGCTTAATGTTTTGACTACTGCTTCGAGTTTGTTACAAACGCTCCTGCCTCCCTTCTTCTTTTTCTGCTTTCTCTTCTTCTTATTTGTCGTCTTATGGCATTTGGCAAACAACAATTTGGTGCATTACCAACTGGATTGGAGTGGAATGACTACCAATCACTTCCTGTTTGTGCATCGGCGTCTTAAAGGAGTAGATCATTGTGGCATTAACAGAGGGGTGCCAGCAGTCAGGGATAGGGGGGCCCCCCAACATGAGCCCAGGCAGCCGTTGACCTATGCCTAATGGTAAAACCGCCACTGTTAGGGAGGAGGAGTATTCATAGGTAGTTTCAGCTTGTTAAGAAACAACAGACAGCTACAGTTTATAAGCACAAAACTCCCATAGTCCGAATTGAAAAAGATCCTCGGATGAGAAGCAAAACTTTTTCAAGAAATCAAAGAAATCCATTTGCCTTCATTTGACCCTTTGAATTATGACCTAAATGACTGAGAAACTTCAACAGCAGATAGAAACTAATATAAATCTAATTTTAAAAGAAACCTGCTTTACTTTAAAGCATCAAAAATTCTGAAGTTTAATAGCAGCTTTTTTTTCTAATCTATTTCAGAAAGGCGCCGAATAATAGTTTTCACGGACAACAATATTTGTTGTTTAAATGATAAACTCAGCTGCTTGCAGTTCACAGATGATGTTAAATTCCACCCAGCTCCTGGTGCAATCTACTGTTATCTCCCGCCTCGATCAATGCCCTTCTAACTGGTCTTCCAGCCTGTACTGTGAGACCTCTTCAAATGGTCCAGAACGCAGCGGCGTGTCTGGTCTTCAATCAGCCAAAAAGAGCACACTTCATCCCTTTGTTCTTTGAGCTCCACTGGTTACCGCTAGCAGCCCGCATCAAATTCAAATTGCTAGCACTAGCATACAAAGTCCGAGATGGTACAGCTCCCATCTACCTGAATCCTCTTGCAAAGGCTTACGTCTCGGCCCGGCCGCTCCGGTCATCACAGGATCGTCGGCTAGCAGTGCCTACACCACGCTCAGGACAATCCAGACTCTTCTCATGCATCGTTCCACAAATGTGGAATGACCTACCAAGCACTACCAGAACTGTGGCTTCCTTTTCAATTTTCAAGAAACTCCTGAAGACCCTGCTCTTCAGAGAGCGTCTTCTTAACTAGCACCCTCCCTGCACCCGCTTTCCCCCCCACTGTCCACTCTTTGTTCCCTCCTCTCCATGATTGATGTCAAGTTGTTGTTGTTATTGTTGTTGTTAGCCTCAAGGGCAACATGCCGATTATCACTTGTAAGTCGCTTTGGACAAAAGTGTCTGTTAAATACATAAACATAAACATTAAGGGACCTATGATTATGGCAAAAATGGCCAAACAATAACAAAAAGATGCTACAGTTTTCAACGACAAACAAAAATTTTCAAAATAATGTGATTTCCCCCAAAAATCTGAATGTTAAACATTATAAAATCAGCTACACTCAATTTATTTATTTTTATTTTATTTTTTTTACATTTTACACATTTTTATTTTATAGAACAAACTGTAATCTTGTTGATCTCTGATTTACCAAAAAAAGTAAAATAGTGTATTTTTTGATCAGCAAGTTCACCTTGACAGAACTGCGCCATGATCAAAACAAAAAAAGACCATGTATGTTGCTGTTAATGCTTTCTCTGTGTTTCTGTGCTTTCCTGGCACTTTTATAAGTCTATGCAATGGAAATAAACCGTAAGTACTCTTTAGGTCAACGACACCAGTTTTGATCCATTTGTTTTAAATGTTTGCAACAAAAACCACAGTTGTCACCTGTTTCCCACACAGCTCCATGTGGAGAACATCTCTATGATGAAGATGGGAAGAGACTTCCTCCATGTATCCCCGGAGCATGGCTCACACCTGCTATTATGGCTTGTTATCTTCTCGTGGCAAACATCCTTCTGGTCAACTTGCTCATTGCGGTCTTTAAGTATGAAAATGTTCCAGCGTCTGTAGTTCGTGATGAAGCAGCCACTGTTTTGGTTTGAACTCAGTGGTTTTGCATTTCTCTTCCCACAGCAACACCTTCTTCGAAGTCAAGTCTATTTCCAACCAGGTGTGGAAGTTTCAAAGATATCAGCTGATCATGACATTCCACGACCGTCCAATTCTGCCTCCGCCTCTCATCATTCTCAGCCACCTCTACATCCTGTTCAACAGGCTGTTCCGCCACTGCCTGAAGAAAAGGCAGGAGGGGGAGCTGGACGAGAAGGACCGAGGCCTTAGTCAGTGTTGCTGAGTCAGAATCAAACACAACATTTAGAATTCTGAATTCATACACGCCATTAGACTGGCATCTGTCTAGATAGCTAAAGTAACGCTAACGTTGAGTTTCGATGTTTCCTCCAGAGCTCAGGCTTAATCCAGAGGAGCTGAAGAACCTTTATGAGTTTGAAGAACAATGTGTAGAGGAATATTTCCGTGAAAAAGAGGATGAGCAACAGTCCTCGAGTGACGAACGCATCAAGGTTACATCAGAGAGGTAAAATGCAGATGTAGCCAATTATTCCAAATACCGTTTTGATATACGTTCTTTTTCTTGGTAGGGTTGAGAACATGTCAATGCGTCTGGAGGAGGTAAATGAGAGGGAGAACACCATGAAGGCCTCGCTGCAGACAGTTGACCTGCGTCTGGCCCAGCTGGAGGAGATCCACGGACGTATGGCAGTGGCCCTGGAAAAGCTCGCAGGGGTGGACCGAACTGAGCTGACCCGCACCTTTTCACGAAACTCCTCCGTGTGTGACCCTTCCTCTCTGCTTCGCCAAGGCAGCATCAACAGTGCCGATGGTTACAGTCTCTACCGCTTCCACATGGACATGGAAGAGTTTGCATCCAAGCAGAGGGATGATGAGAAATCTGGCCTTGAAAGACAGCGGAGTTTGCGCCAAGCATCTAGTACTTGCGCCCTCTATACTAAGGAGGGTAGTCAGAGCTTGGAAGTTTGTGGTTTGGAGCGATCACGACCTGGTTCATGCGTGGATATTCTCATATCTCCATGTGAGCAAAAGCCTGCTTCTGGGGCATCAAGTCAAGAGACCATAGCCAACATAAGGCAAGGCAGTACAATGCTGCTAGATAAACTAATCGACACAAACAGGCTAAAACCTTTATCTCCTAAAAGGACTAAGTCATTGAAGTACTTCCCAGTTGAAGACCAAGCAACATCTCCTTTGACAAAGAGACGAGCCATGAGCACTATCGCGGCCCACCCCTCCAATAATTCAGAGGAAACCGCTGAGCCAACGCGGGAGGTCAAACTTCTAGCAACATCCTGTTCTCCAAGAAGGGCAAAGTCCCTGAGAGTTCTTCCAAGGGTAACCCAAAGCCAGACATCTCCTATCACTAAGAGGAGGGCTATGAGTGGCCTCATTTACAACCCAGCTGAGGCAAGTGATGATATGCTGACTGAAGCTCGAAATCAGTGGCCGGCAAATCCAGAGCACAATACCCAACATGGCGCTTTAGTTTCCATATCTCAAGCATCGTCTGTCAAAACCCTTGCAGAGCTGTTTCAGCCTTGTTCCACACTTACAGATGATGAAGGGCTGAATCGTGCTGACACAACTCCTTCAGGAGGTGAAGAAGCGCCATTGGAAACAAATCAAGGGGAAGACCAATTAGGAGCAAAGGCCAAGAGAAACCTCTCAGACGCCAATGATTATCTGACTGTGGTTGATGAGAAATATTTACGATCTCAAAGGTCACAAAGCTGCAATGCTAGTGACAGAAAAGCAAAACCCTTGGTTTTACCAAATGAGCCGAGAGCCTGCAGCAGTGAGAGGGACCTCACTGGGGTCAGCCGACTACCAGCTGCTAATGGACGAGATGAGAGGAGGACGGAGGCGGGAAAGTCTGAAGATGATGCATAGAACACAAAACAGAAAATCAATAAAAGGTCGTCATTTTCAGAAGGACTCCGTGGAAGGAAATAAAAAACAAACTCTGTTATAAAGATTCTTTACTTTTGCTACTTTCCACCGGTAACATTCAAGAGATTATAAACCACATTACAGCTTTACTTGAGTTTATGTTTGAAAATGAAAGAAAAACTGATGAATATCTTCTGTTTGAGGAGAAAATTTAAAAAAATGCATGCAGGAAAAACACCATCATTCTACATATGGTTGGCATTTTTAAATACTTTCTGTAAACATTTTCTTTTCTGATACAGTGTGCTTAACAATGACCCATCAAGGGCTTCCTTATTACAACTTTCATGCAGATACAATCGCGTAACAGTATGTTTCCAGTGCATTCTACTGAATGATCTTTCGCAGTTTCATTTTAATACAGAAACTTGTATAAATATAATTTCAAAAATAAAAATACCACAAAAAGCTGCTGTGTTTTTTTGTTTGTATTGTAAAACTGTAGATATTTTGAGGTCAAAATGATGTCAGTGCAACTGAAGGCCATAAGCATGATAAAGAAAAACATACATACACGCAAATACAATCAATGCTGAGACTAGGATATATTCAGCATCATAATAGAAAATCTGGCAATAGGCAGTGTTTATAAAATGATGCTACAATATTAAAGAGTAAGACAACAGTGTGCAAATGATATATCCTCATGGCGTAAACGTCAACAGGACTGCTGCCCGCTGTGAGCGGGCACTGCAGGGCGACCTGCAAACCACTGCTGCAAGTCTTTTGCATCGCTTCCCAGTTTCTGTTTAGCAGATCAGAGGTACGGCTCGGCCACACGTGACCCGGTGACCTCAGGTGGCGTTAGAAGGCCTTTTATTGATGAGCTGAGCTGTTGCTCAGGCGGCCAGGAAACCTGACGGGCATCAATCCTCAGAAGATAGACGCTTAGAGGAGTGAACACTTGAAGAATTTGATTCTCTTTGATTTTTTATCTGTGATCTTGACAGGCTTCCCGGATCCTTCACCGCTGCTGTCAGTCTAACATGGAAAGGAATTACGGTAAGTCAGTGTTAATAAAGCTTTATTAAGATCATTTATCAGAACTACTTACTGCCTTTGAGCAAAGGTTGTGCAAAATGTCTCTTGCCATAGTATAAAAAGCCTAAACGAAGACAAAAAAAGAACAGTCCCAGTTCATTTACAGTAAATAATTAATTCTTTCTGATGTTTTTATAGATAATTATCTGTCATGTCACCTCTTCTACATTTAGGCCAGACTTTGCACTGGTCTCCAAGAACTTCACTCCATAATCAATAGCCAGCTAAAGGAGATTAGGTGAAAAATGTCACTCAGTGCAAATTAGAAACCAGCTCTGGATCGGTTTTCAGCAACTGCAAAGGCTCACCTTTTCACCTCTGTCTTTAGACACCTGCCTCCTGTCAGTCATGTCACATTTGTTCCCGAGTATCATCTTCTCCACGTCTGATGAGGCATGCTGGGAAATATTAAAGGTATGGGACACTCATTTAAGCAATACATTTGCAGTGGTCTCTAGTATTAATGAATGCCTTGCAAGTTATAACTAGCAGAACTAGTAGAATGTCATATTAGAGGAGAGCTTAACACGACCGTTTTGGAGTCCTATTTCCTGATATGTGGACATCTTTCCTTGGAATGGATAACAGCAGCACGACACTACCACTGACTCCGTTTGCTTTGTGACATGGATGTTTCATAATATTCCTGTCACTCCAAGAGAATATGCTGTAGTTTTTGATGCAATACCAGATGGAGTGAGAAGGTTATTGGTGTCTGCTCCAAAGGGTAGAAATTGTATTATTCCATAACTAAACCTGGTAGCATATACATTGTTTACATCTGTCCTTTAATTGAGTGATAAAGCCACAAATCACTGTATTAGACAAATCATTCAAAGACATATGTCTTTCCAAACCTGCAGCTGTATTTTACTGGAAAAATATTTACAATGATATAGAATGGAAAAACACTTGAAACAAGGAAATTTATTATTACTAATAAGATAAGAGAGGTTACTTTTAAGTTGATGGTATCCGGTAAAGACATATCTGGTTAAACTTAAGACAAATATTGATACTCTTTGTATTTTTTGCAGCAATGCAGAGGAAACAATATGTCATTTATTTTGGGAATGCACTTACCGGTATACACATGTATTTTGGATTGATCTAAATAATTTTATAAACACCAAAATTGGTCCCTCATGTAAACTGAAATTTCAACACATTCTATTTGGCCTCTCACATACCGATAAAATAATTCCAGGAAAAAAATATATTATTAATCTTCTGATCATTTTTGTCAAATTTCACATACATTGTACAAAATTCTCTCAACAGCATCCAAACATATTTGCATTTAAAGCCCTGTTTTCCAATTATCTGGAGAATCTCAATAACAGTACTAACTCCAAAGCGTGTAAGGCACAAGAGCTGTGCCGAATGCATAATTTCACTTGATTTACATGTTTATTTATATCTTGAGCATTTTTATATATTTTTTTCCAGTTATTTTGTTTCTGTTTTCTTTTTGTTTAAGTACTTGTATACATAACTTGTTCAACTTATTCAACTTGTTACTACAAGCTGTGGAATTTTTATACCCTTTCTATATTCTACAATACCATGTTTGTTTGTTATTCAAATGTCTAAACAAATTTAAAAAAGAAAGAAAAGAAAAAAGACATGGATGTTTCATCTCCACAAATAACTCAAGCCTAGAGGTGTTCTGCTGTGTGGTGGAGTTGCTAATGCTAATGGTTAGCTTCTATTAGCCAAGACGTTCTCTGCTGACTCCTGGATGCTAAACCTGCAATCATCTTTCCTGTCACAAGTTAAGATGAGTGAGTCCATGAATGTTAAGTGACAGTGTGACGTCAGGCTTTTCAAATCCTAGAGTTTCACCGTCTATTTTCTATCAGAAGCTAAAGCGGGAGATAGGTGTAGGAGACTATTTTCATGTTGAGCCTGCATGAAAAACTCAGTGTGACTGATTATTAAAATGGTTTTTAGTGTTCCACACCATTACGACTCCTTTTAAACCATTACAACTACTATATAACAAAGCACATTTACCTCTTCAATATTTCTAATCCAGTTTTTAATGTTGTCGAAGGACTTCTCGTTGCAGATGTCATAGACCAGCATAATGCCCTGCAAAAGGGGAGAAACAGAAACAGAAACCCCGAGTCCTGCTGTGACTGGATAAAGTAGGTCAAAAGTGACAAAGCAGGAGAGGAGGAGACTTACCATTGCTCCTCTGTAGTAAGCTGTAGTGATGGTGCGAAACCTCTCCTGGCCTGCAGTGTCCCTGAACGCATCAGTCAAACAGATGAGGGCTCAAAGAGGAAGTATTTTTTTCTTTCACAGAGCAGATTTACCAGTTTCACTTTTCTTTCTTAAAAGGTAAAATCCGCTCAAATGTCACTCACCAAATCTGGAGTTTGACTCTCTTTCCTTCCAGCTCAATTGTTCTGATCTTGAAGTCTATCCCTGCATTTGTGAAACGGGTCACATCACGTTTTGCACCATTGATCACCCATAACCTCACATGTATTGTCTTGTTTAACAAATATCTGAGAGGACATATTACAGATGTATTAGCACATTAGAGCTGATATTCACGAGACTGTCTTAAACCTAACGGATGGATGTGAAGATCATTTGTCCCTTTGTCTGAGTTTGGCTGCAGCTCTTTAACAAATAGCAGATTCCAGTGATAACAGTAAAAGCTGGTATTACTACAGAGCAGCGAAAAGCTTCAGGAAAACGTTGTGTTGAGTAAATGTTTCTGTCTCCTTGGGGCGTCTGCGATATTACTAGATTAGATTTACTCACCTATTGTGGAGATGAAGGTGGTATTAAAGGAGTCCTCGCTGAATCTGAACAGCAGACATGTCTTCCCGACGCCGCTGTCTCCGATGAGCAGCAGCTTAAACAGGTAGTCGTACGTTTTCGCCATTTAAACAAACAAGAAAACAACCTCTCGGTTCCAGAAGGCCGTTCCGAACCGGCTGAGCCCGGCTGTGAAATCCTCCCAGCTGTCGGTCGGGCTGCCGAATCAGAGCAGCAGCGGACCGGTGCCGGAGATGGGTGCCGCCACTTGTTAGCTCTGCATTGTGGGTATTGTAGTTTAAAATGAAAAAGCTATTTTGACCATCAATTTAAAAAATGAACAAATAAAGAAAAAAAAATAATAATAGAAATTATAGAAATAAATAATTTAATTGAACAAAAAATAGAATAAAATAAAAACCTGAAGTTAGGAAACATGACATTGTAAAAGATTAACTGTGCACAATGTTTCTTCTAAATGTCTTTATTCCCATCTACTTAAAAATTATTTAGTTTATTCAAAACTGTGTTTATTACCATTAAAATGTGTGCTGTTTCAATTATTAAAATTAGTTTAAAGTGACAATGTGTATTTTTCCTGGCGACAGGGGGCAGTAGATACCTAAATCGTTGCAAGTAAACGGTATATTTATGTTGGAGTAAGACCTTACAAACGGATGTCCATTAGGGTCAAACAGCCCTGTGGAGTGCAAACTTTAGCAAAATAACAAGCAAATCAGATTCCCTTTCATCACTGGCAAGTGATGAGGTAAATGTGTAATACGTTTAAGAATGGCAAAAGCTTTGTAACCATTTGGTTACAGATCAGTAAATGAATTTTGTCCTCATGGGCTTCCATGGAAGAAAACATGGCATCTAATATGGTGTCACACAGAGACTTACCTGCTCCCATGTATTCTGAGCCCAATCTCAATACTCGCACTTCCACCCTTGTGCACTTCAATTGCGCAATACCGACTAGGAGTGCGAGTGCCTAGGGTGTCCCGATTCTCAAGTGTGGAAGTTGATCACTGCCCTTTTGCACCCTTGATCTGCACTTCACCCAAGTCCGCATTGCTGCGGACTTGGGTGAAGGCCATTACCCACTAGTCATTGCTGCAGGAGAAAAAGGCTCAAGTTCCTTTTCTGAAAATATGTATTTAATTTTAGGACAATTGGTTGATGCTCTAAAACTTTTAGACAAAGCAGAAATAAATGTACATTTATTTCAAATAACTGTTTGTTTCAAAAGTTGTTGGTTTTAGAGAAAAGTATCACAGCAATCAGCGTAACGGCATGCATTGCGATCGATGACGCAATGCTCCTTCTGAAATTATTTGCACACTTGTGTACAACGCACTCAAAGCTTTAAAGCACACTTTGCTGAAGTGAAGGGCGAGTATTGTGATTGGGCCCTAGACCAGATTTTTATGGTTATACGTTATGAAGCCGCTAATATTTTTTTAAAAATTGGGCATCATTTCATTCATTTTCAACATTTTGATGGATATTTCCAGAAATTATTGGTAAAAACTACACATTGTTTCTTTAAAGTAAAAATAGCTAAATTATAGTTTAAAAATATAGGAAAAAACACATAGAAATTAGTATTGCCAGTTTAGAATAGTATACAAGAAACTTGCAAAATTACCTTCTATACAAAAAGATGTAATGAAACTGATTAATGAGAGGGGTGCAAAGACCTAGGAACTGTAGTAAAAAAAAAAACCCATAATATTTATCACAGGTTCTGATGCAGTTTCCAAAAAAGCTGCCTAATAATTACTCAATATTGGAAGATACAACTTAAAAGGCTTTTTTTTAAGATCACAATATTTCTGGACTCACAGTGCTGCCTGTTATGTCCCAATAAACTAGCTGGAGGTTCAAGATGGCAGAATTTTCTCTGAACTGAAATCATGTCTGAACACTGCTCTTCAGACATTTCCCAGGTGAGTCACAAAGAATGTAGAACAAATTGGGAATGTGGTTTACCTTTGTTTTTTAAAGCTAAAAAAACAAATGCAGGATAATTCATTCCTTCTCCTTTTGGAGTTTAACTTAAGAAGGTGCTATACAGGTGAGGAGTTGGAATAAGAGAAAATTATAAATCAGTTTCTTGTATTTTATTGAAAGACCCCAAACAATGAATCAATTACCTTCACAGAAAGCATTCAAAACTGTCCCTTTAACTTTGGAACAAACAGAAACATTTGTGCCATAAATGGTTTGTACATGAAAAACTACGTACACTGCAACACAAAATTACAAATCAGCATTGAGCACATCTCCATGTGCACATTTGTGTCCAACAAGTAAAAACAAATGGCATCCTTTAAACTGTTAATACAAAGACGACGTTGTCGAGGAATTGGTCAGGCCTTTTAAGACCAAAGAAAAAAGGTGGTTTAAAAACTTGGACCTGGATCTACTACAATCACTGCGTCTGACATTGCACTCCCCCTCTTGGGCCCTCCTCATCTTCCTCATAAGCTTCCCTGCTGTAGTGTCTTTGTTGTGAGCCGACTTCCACCTCACACAGGTCCACCTCCTCCATGTCATCAGTAATCATCACATCATCTCTGGGAGGAAGCAGTCTCTCCAGCTGGTACATCAGATGCTCTGGAAGCCAGCCTTTTTCTGGGAACTCCACCTGAAACACAAATCAGACTATTAACATCTGAGAGACATCACTTAAGTCACAGATTAAAGATTTGTGCTAAAATCTCACCTGGAACTGGATGATGAGATCTCCCCTTTCAAAAGGCTGCCTGTATAGCGGCATGCCTTCATTCTGGATGCACTTGAAGTCGTTGTGCTTGATAACTTCACCTGTTAAAACCATAGATGTTAGTAAATCTGGATTTATGATCATTTAGAAATTCAAAACACCAGTTCAATTTCAGAGATGCCTACCTGGCTGTGTGCTGATGATAAGCATTCTGTTGTCTAATGTCTGGATCGTCTTTCTGAAACCACACAGGGCTTCTACAAGCCTAATATTCATCTTCATTATTAGATTGTTTTCCTGTCTTTGGAAAACTGGGTGGTCCTTCTGATCCAGAACAATAATCACATCTCCAGGCTCCAGTCCAGGTTCCTGATCACCCTCTCCATGAAATGTGATTTTCTGTCCATCTTTCATACCTGGTAAGAAAAATCTACATTCAGTCGACCATCTCTTTATTGATTATCCTGAATATTTTAGGTCAAGGGTTCTTACCTTTGTCAATATGAACGTCAAGAATTTTCTTCTTGCGTTCGACTTTGAGTCCATTGCAGTTCTTGCAGCGGTCCTTCGCGCTGAACTTTTCACCCTGTCCCTGGCAGTCTGGGCATGTGGTCTGGAACTGCTGGATCATACCTGGTCCAATCTGTTGCACCTTTACTTGCATCCCTCTTCCTTTGCAACTGGAGCACTTCTCCAAGGTACCCTTTTTCCCACCATAACCTGTGAATAAAAAAAAATAAAAATAAGTCATTCTCCATTCTGAAGAACTGACAAGGAGAGCTTTTATTTCGTTAACTTAAATCTTCAGTACGTACCATCACATTTCTCACATATGACATTCTTCTGAAGCCCAAGCTTCCTTGTTGAACCGTTGTACATCTCTTCCAGTGTCACACCAAGCTGGTGAACAACATTCTTCCCTAAAGAAGGAAAAATATTGAATACAAAATAAAACTGCAGCACATAGGTTAAAGGAAATATTTTGAACCAAATCTGTGTAAGACACTAAATGCCATTTCTCCAAACAGAGGTTGTTCTAACAGTCATCTACAGCAGATATTTATGGGTTTGAAACATTTCCACAGAAAATAAAACTTCTTAAGATCTGAACTATCCATCATACCTCTCCTTTCCCTCTGCATGCGGCCTCCACCTCCAAAGAACATGTCAAATATGTCCATAGGAGAAGATCCTGAGCTCATGCCTCCCTCTTTGATGGCCTGCTCCCCTCCGTGGTCGTACAAATCCCTCTTCTTAGCGTCAGATAACACCTCGTATGCCTGGGAGATGAGCTTAAACTGTGAAAACAAAACAAATCAATAAATATTACGTTATAATAAATGTATAGAAATAATACAAAAGAACCACCCCAAAAGCACTTTTGCCATAGAAAACTAAATAAGCTGCTTAAATGTTTTATCAGTTGTATTAATAGAATTGGTCAGCAGCTCCCTGCATGAACAGAACAGCTGCAGATTCGATGGTTCCAGAAAGTTCCCGAACAGCGCGTGCGACTTTAAAATGGAACATTCCGTTTCCAGCGGTTCACTAATGGGCACAAAGACCGTTTATATAATAAAAACTGGATTCACAAGCCCTTGTCGCTTACCTTTTCTCCTTCATTCGGGTTCTTGTCGGGGTGATACTTAAGGGCGAGTTTTCTGTAGGCTTTTTTGATTTCGTCACTCGACGCGGTCGGGCTAACACCCAAGAGGTCGTAGTAGCCGGTTTCACGAACCATCGTGGCAAACCTGTGGAATATTATTTAGAAATCATATAAAATCATACTAATTGGGCTTTCATTCACCAAGAGGCATTTTAATTGGTAACATGTAAGAATGACAGGGCAACCGGCACGTGCTGAATCAAATAAGAGTTATCTAAGCTTAAAACAAAAGGCCCACGCGCTTCAAGCAAATAAAGGGTTTAAAAGCTGTGATGGATACTCACTAGCTCTGAGATCTTCCTGAACCTGGACGAGAGAACGTGAATGTCTGCGTTGAAGGAGGAGCACAAGGCGCTCTTATAGCCTCACTCACCGACGTTTCGAACGTTCTGGAGACTCCCGAGAACAGAAACCGGAAGTTCCTTTGGTAGTCAGCGCGAGCCGCGAGAGTCTAGAAAAGACTGGAAGGGCTAGCGCGCGCGCCAGTTTCATATCTGCTTCTCAGATGTCTTGACCTAATTCCTGATGTGGTAGCTTTACTTTCCTATGAAAGGCAGTGGGCGAACGCCTTTCCATGGATGTTATGTAAGACAGTTAGTGTTGCTCCTGCATAAGGAGAGGATTTAGCAGCCTAATATTTATCCCTAAATAGTTTGATTGAGCTGGTCTCACTTTTCATTTAGGCTTGTTTCTGTTTGGATATGTGCAGACATGAAGCGTTGAGCTACTTCTGCATATGCATTTGTGTTTATTGCAGAGCAAAAAGGACATTATAGCACAAGCAAATTCTTTTCATAATTCCATTTCTGCAATTTTAAAGCAGGAAATCCAGCATGGTAAACTCTGCAGCAGGCACAGCAGGACGACATGCAGCTAGCTGATCCTGCATGTCTCACATTGCTGCACACAGATTTAAAAATCCACAATGATTTCACTGGAAGACATATTCGTTTTCACAAAAATACTATGTGTTTAGTAAACTGCTGTAAAGCACATTGAGTTGCCTTCGTTTAGGAAATGTGCTATATAAATAAAGCGGCTGAACATAGCATGTGTGTATATTTACAAGCTAATAACTCCTATAAAAATGCCAATACTCGTTCTTTGCATTTCTGGGGCAGTTCCATAACCTGACAGGACAAATTAATAACAGTCCATTAATGTCCTGCTTCACCACATATTCTCATCTGTGCAAATGTAATCTGAGCAGCTTCTACTTTGATTAGGTGAGTGGCAGAAACCTGTGATCAAACAAGAGGGGTGATGGCTAAACTAAAACATATGACCACACCATTAGCCCTGACGTTTCCACTCAAGAGATTATTCCTAAACCTCCTATTAGTCCATCAGAGGTGACCGCTGTGGCAAAAAAAAAAAAAAAAAAAACAGTAAATTATTTATGTTTATTTTTTGCAAACCTTTTGCTTAGATTTTCCACCCAATTCAGTCTTTAATTAGTATATTTTTAAACTGTTCAGACCAACCCCAAAACACTTAACTTAAATTTGGGGTGGAGGGGTGCTTTCAAATTAAAAGACAATCTCCGACATGATCTGAGTGTGTTCTCTTCACAGAAAATGTAATCATAAATTATAACCACACATAAACCAGGATGAATTTATACATTTGAATTCTGGTAATAATTTTAAGGATAAAATGATCCTCTATGTTTCAACTGGTTTAATAATTATAATAGTTTGGTTAACCGTGACTAACCGATTAGTGAAACTGAAAGGAGCTTCAGGGTGTGCTACTGCAAGCGTTTAATTTTACCAGAAGGTGGCGCCAGATCACTTAATCAAGTACAAAGCAACATTTTCTACATCTCACTTCTGAATTATGGAGAAATATCCCTACCAAAATAGACAATGTTGAAATAAATATTGAAATAAACAACAGTGAAAATATTTACTTCATTTCCAAATCTATTTATTTTCCTTATACATTTCCTTATTTACTCATGTATTTCTAATTAATATTTCCACATTTATTTTTTACGGTCTATTTCGGCATGTTGAGTCCTCCATATTGAATATGCCTCATGTTAGTTATTTGTCTATCAAAAAATAAAAAAATAAAAATAAATCACACAAAAATGAGAAACACAGTTGTAGCTTCATAAAGGCTGTATTTTCCATACATCATTCACTAAAACACTTCATGGTAGAAAACAAGTAGAAACTGCCGAAACAATCATTCAGTCACTTTTTGCTAAAGCACAACTCACACAAAAAGCATACAGCATGGTACACATTTACTCGGACTCTTTCAGCAACGCTAATAGGAAAAAAATCAACACGTAGAAATCTTTAAAAGCAGCATAGCTCTTAGTAAAACTGCAGCCTACGGCATTTAAATGTGCACACTGTGCAAAGTTAAGACATCTTTGAACCATACGGAGTATCAAAACGGGTAAAGGTTTCCAAAACGCACTCATTTATTCTGATAACTGATGCACAGGATACATACAGTCACAGTAGATTTCATACAATGCAACACAGCGAGTGTGCCAGGCAATTATCAAGCATTTGGATACAGCATTTTAAAAAGCTACAGTATATGGAGCCATGATACAGTGCAAAAGAGACAACAACTATAAACAAAACCCAAAATAGCCCAACTCAGAGTGCATATTGTTTTGGCTGCTTTTTCAAGCTCATGGATCTTTCAGTTTGAGAGATGACATGAGTGGCTCTGTTGTTGAGGAGTCTGCATTCATGAAGAACATCTGTAGAAGAAAGTAGGATTTGCAAAATCTGTATTTTCAATCAGTCAAATCCCATGTAAACACAGAGACCCTCTCACCATTAAACTGTTTGTAGGCCTCTTCGATGATGGCGTTGTTTGATCTCTTTATCTCCCAGTAACTATCCTCTACCCACGGTTTACAATCAGGATGTTCCACAAGTTGTCCATTCTTGTATGAACCTGCTGATAATTTACAGAAAAATATTGATTCAAACACGTTAATGTGTTACTTTATGATATATAGTTTCACTCAAACAATAAGGTTCTTAAAACAAGGATATATGTTGAAAAATTAACATTCACCCTTAATAGTGTCATCGATGTCTTTGCATAGCTGGTACAAGTCGCTTCCCCGTCCTACAACTCTTTCTCCTATGGGTAAAAACACATCAAAACTAAAATAAATGCAGCCAATGCAACACCGTGATCTTTTAGAAATTGATGATGTTAAATGCTAAATCAAAAAAAAAAAATTATTTTTACCATCCAGCACTTTGATGTTAGGGAACATCTCAAGCACTGTGGCTCGATACGATGCGTTCCTGCAGACTAACGAGAAAATGTCAAATTATTGATTGAGCCTTTTAATCGAAAATAACTTTTTAAGTGTTATGAACTTACCGGGGTTACTGTAATTGTAAGTGTTATCTTTCAGACGTATGTTTTCCAGCTTTCTCAAAGTAACGAGGCAGTGTAGGTTGTCAGTACTGGTTAAAAAAAGAAAAAACCAGACAGGTGTGAGGATTTCATCTGAGTAAGTTTGGTAAAAGTAAAAAAATATACATAATGTGAATATAGGGAGCCTAAGTCTCCTCCCCTTCTGGTTGGCTCATGGGTCCCCGGAAGAACGAAACAATAAATGCAAGTCAACGTGGCTAAAAACGCTGTTTTCTAATCCGCTTTGCCTTAGACCCTGAACCACACGTGTTGAACTGCAATTTAAAGGAAAAGTAATGATGTATGTTTCGTACGTCGATATTTATTAGCTTGTAAAAGTTCTTAATTCCTATGACTACAAATCAGACTTCGGTACGTTGCATAAATGACGCCACCACAGAATCTCCTCTCCCCTAGCGTAGCTGCTACTTACCACACGATCAGATTTATGGTGATTCTTTCATCCTGAGGGAAGGATATGAAGTTTGCTGAACTTACAGCCATTTTACTTCTGCTTTTCTCCGTGTCTGGTTTGATTACGTCGATTTGGTGATACGCATTTGTAGTCCTGGACTTATTTTCATACATTACTTTTGCAGCTTTAAAATCACAGTTTCTAAACTCCTAATGCCAAAAAGTGGCGTAAACCCCCCTCCAGTGTTGTGATTCTTGGCCCTTTCAGGTCTCCTACAGAGTTATGCAAAAAATGTGTTTCTTCTGGTCACTGAACGCAGAATTATATTTCACACAGCGGCCCTCTTGGTACCCAGAAATGAATTAAAATACAGCGCAGAATAAACTTTAATGCTATTAAGGTGAATGGACACCTTTTGGTGCTGTTCAGTGATGTCACTCACAACTGAAATGGTGGCGAATGCTGACGTGCCCCACCCCCCTCTCGGTAATTTTCTGGAACTCCCATTGACCCTTTGCACGTGACGTCACGCCACTCATGTCACCGCCCCCTTCACCATGATGGACAGCAAAAAGATCGTTTACACCCATTGGAACTCCAGTGAAGCTAGTCAAAACAAGCCAGTTTGTAGCCTTTTATCGCTTTTATTTAGTTGATTTGACAGTAAAATGGTTTTAGCTTGCTGCGTGGTTGGCTGCACTAACAGACAAGGATGTAAACTCAACTTGTTTTGTTTTTTAATAACTTTGATGGAGACTGAGGACGGAGGTAAACTGCAGCGACCAATCAAGCGGACTAGCAGCCCTCAGATTTGCAGCGAACATGTTTTTACCGGGTAAGATTAACGTTCATTTATTTCACGAGGAAGACAGAGACAGGGATAAATGTGATGTGTTATACTAGTTATTATAATCCTGATGGATGGGTATTTCACCACGGAGGATGCACGCCGTCCACTGTAGTGTAAAGCGAGATGATTATTAACAATATTAAAGCTCCGATGTATGATTACATGTGTTAAAATTACGTTATTTATTTATATGAGCGTCGGCGTTCAGAGATCTTCTCATTCCGGTGTGAGAGCAGCGGCTGAGCCCGGTAACACCACCAGCAACAGAAGCTGGTAGGAATCCGGACTTTTAAAAATCAGCTTTGGTGTAAAGTGAAACGCTGTTTATAACATAATGTTATAAATCCAGAGGGGTGAATTTAGGCAGTCAGCAACATGTTTACATCGGTGAACAGCTGCAGAAAGAACATAAGCTAATGTTGGTAAGCTAGTTAACATACCGCTCTCTATGAGCCCCGGCTAGATGCGCTACTTCTTCTGATAACTGAACTGGGCATGATGAAGGAATGCTGGAGGAGTTTTGTTTTTGTTTTGATCGCAAAAACAATTTCAGGCTCTACTTTTCCCTTTGTTTACTAATCGTGTCGCTCACTTTTTACATGCTTTTGCCGTCCAGCATGGTGGACCCATGTGATTAGGTGACGTCGGTGCAAAGGGTCAATAGCAGAAACACGACTAACAGCCTCAACTCACTGGCCATTTTATTGGGTACACTTGTCCAACTGCTCGTTAATGCAAATGACGAATCCGCCAATTCCACGATGGCAACTCAATGCATTTAGGCATGTTGACATGGTCAAGACGATCCACTGCAGTTCAAACTGAACTTCAGAATGGGGAAGAAAGGTGATTTAAGTGACTTTGAATGTGGCATGGTTGTTGGTGCCAGACAAGCTGGTCTGAGTATTTAAGAAAGTGCTGATCTTCTGGGATTGTCACGCACAACCATCTCTACGATCTACAGAGAATGGTCCGAAAAAGGGAAAACATCCAGTGAGCAGCAATTCGGTGGGTGAAAATGCCTTGTTGCTGCCTGAGGTCAGAGGAAAATGACCAGACTGGTTTGAGCTGATAGAAAGGCAACAGAAACTGAAATACCATGCTGTCGTTCTTTTTTTTAAAACACAGAAACGGTTTCGTTACCTGTTTTGTCGCTACGTTTCGCCGGTGGCTGCAGGCTTCCTCAGGCTGACGGTGGCGCGTCACTTCCTTCTCTGTTTATCCGCGGGCAGCAGAGGACGTTGTCGCCCTCTACTGCCCGCTCTCCCCTCTCCGACGATGCAGTCCCATGCGCGGTCCAACGTGTAAACTCCGTCATCCCTGTTCATGGTCCCACATCCACGTCTCCTTATCTCGATTGCTTCTTTAATCCATGTCTTGTATGTTTGTTGTTCAATGTTTAAGATCCTTGTGTTGTCCCAGTCCATTACATGGTTTTCTCTTGTGCAGTGATCTGTTACGGCTAACTTCATTATTGTACTTTCTGCTTCTTGTTTTGCTGCTCTTGTGTGTTTTCGACTTGTTTCTTTCTCGCACTCCTTTCTATGTTCTATTGTTCGTGTGTTGAGTTGGCATCCGGTTTCTCCTATGTATGTTTTAATGCAGAGTTTGCATGGGATTTCGTAAACGACTCCACATTTAAGTCCAGCTGGTATCTTATCTTTTGGGTGTACTAGTCTGTTTCTAACAGTTGTGTATGGTTTTGTTGATGTGTTTATGTTGTGTTTTTTCATTGCTGCTCTTATTTTTTCTGTTATGCCTTTGATGTATGGTAAGGTTATCACTGGTTTTGGTTCTTGTCTTTCTGGGTTTCTGGTTCTTTGCTTAGGTTGTTCTTTTCTTTCTGTTGTTGTTTGTTTTCCTTTGTTTATTGCCCATGTCGGGTATCCGCAGGTCTTTAAAGCGTGTTGTATGTGTTTGTCCTCTTGTTTACGGTCTCTCTCTTCTGTTATTATGTTTGCTCGGTGATATAATGTTCTGATTACTGACATTTTGTGTATGGTAGTGTGTTCTGATGTCCATAATAAGTATTTGTCTGTGTGTGTTGGTTTCCTGTATGTGTTTATGTTTAGGGTCCCGTCGGTCTGTCTGGTGATTTTCATATCCATAAATGCTATGCTGCCTTCTGTTTCTAACTCATAAGTGAATTTTATGTTGCCTGTGTCGTCAATGTTATTTAAGGAGAAGGAGAAGCGCCACCATCAGCGTAAGCCTGAGGAAGCCTGCAGCCGCCGACGAAACGTAGCGACAAAACAGGTAACGAAACCGTTTCTGTGTTTAAAAAAAAAAAGAACGACAGCATGGAATTAGAACTAATAAACAGCAAGAACACACCTAAGATGTTCAAAGAGAAACTGAAATAATCATTCATTACAACCAAGGTATGCAGAAGAACGTCTCTGAATGCACAACACGTTGAACCCTGAGGCATGTGGGCTACAGCAGCAGAAGACCACATAAAAATAAACCAATAAAGTGGCCAGTGAGTGTCTATGAGAAATCCTGAGTTTTCAGTACTTTTTAATTGGACTGACTAATATGTTTACTCTGGGAGTAAATATATGCTCATACCTGGAGATGATATTACCAGCAATATTTAGGTTTTGTAAATTTTCACAACCCCGGAGAGGCTCTGAAAACAAAAGCAATTAAAAAGTTTAAAGTGAAACTGGACATATTTTTAATATCTAGACATCATTAATGTGACTTTTTTTCTCCACAAAGTCTTACCTACATTGGAGATTCTATTAGCAGACAAATTTAGCACAGAAAGAAGTCGAAGCGACGTTAGAGAAGCTAAATTTGTTATATTGTTCCCAGATAGGTCCAGCCTCTCCAAATTCATGCATTCCCCAATACATCCAAGGTCGTGTATTCCTATTTTTTAAAAAAATCAAAGAATTAGAAAAATACATTTAAAAAATAATTAACTTTAAATGCAAATATTTTATCTTACCAAGGCCTCTCAGTTTGAGAAACAATATTGATTCTAATTCAAATTCTCCCGTACGTGACTTGAGCAGCACTGCAGTGATCCTCTCACACTCTGCATCTGGAAGTGCAACAAGAGCAGAGGAAAGTCACTTCTATTCTTGTGCATGCAGTACAGCCATTTACTCTTAATTTATGAGTCAGCACTGGAAAAAGGAAACTGCTGGAAGCCCTGTTTGTTCTGTTAGTAGCACAAAAGTAGCAACTAGAGCACAGATGATTTCCAGTGTGCTCCTGAGTCACCAACATTACAGATGTACAGATTTGTGCATTGATGTGTGATGTTCCATTGTTCCATGTGATGCATTAATACCAGTTTTTATTAGCTCTAATTTGCTTAAGGCGGTGTAGTAATATAATGTTTCCACAATCATTCCCAGGCACAGATAATGACGCTGGGGTCTACTTTTCTCAATGTCAAAAAGATTCATTTTTTGTTTTATTTAGTTCCCTTAAATGCAAACTGTTGGGTCTGCAGCCTTACGCGAAAAGATCAGAGTGGAAGCCGAAGGGACACTAAAAATAACCTACACTTGCTCTGCACTGCCCTGACTGGGGGAAGATGTCGAGATTCTTCACGCTCGGCTAGCGTTGTTAGCTACCTGCTTGTTAGCCATGAGCGTCGTTCCTATGGCAGCGGCTGTGTGAATTCGTGAGGATGATTCAGCCGGATGAAAGTGGGTGGGCTTCTTGAAAGAAAAAAATGTAGCAGTGCCCCCATTTCCCCCTTGTTGTGATGAAACACGTCCATAAAGCGTGTCCCGAACAACAGGCTGCTAGCGTTAGCTTCACTCGTCCCAGTAGCATGAGCTGCTAGCGGCTAGCACAGCAACAAGCTATCCATCATTAACTTACCCTGGTCTTTCTCTCGCTTTGACTCCATCCTGGACAACTTTTCTTACAACAAAGCTGCCAAACGTCACAAATGACAACAGTTTAGCCAGTGTGAAGAAGTGTAGGGATTATGTATGAGGTGTGAAATTATAATCTATCCAGGGGTACGGGAGGGACACGCTCATTGTATCGCGGTGCAGGTGGATTAGAGACGGGCATCAGCCTTCTCCGCAGCCCGGCGGGGGTTAGCGAGGGGCAGGTGTAACAGATTATTTGGTTTTATCAGGTTTTAAGGTCATTTTAATGCTGATTGGGTTTTTAATGCACAAACCGATCAAATAAACTTTAAAATGTGCTTTTATTTTAAAAAAAATAAGTGAAGATTACTTTTCTGTAATTTATTTATCCAGTTGAAAATATACATAAAACAGAAGAAAAGCGAAATAAAATATAAATATGAATGACATTTACATTTTAAAATATTATTAAGTGTATATTTGACTAGTTTCTACATAATTCCATCTAAATATATAAAACATAATTACTGGACCAGTTAGAACATATTTAAAATATCAGATTTTGAGAATAGTTGAACATTCCAGGGTTTTGGAGCATAACGTCAGTGGTGATATAGAATTTTTTTTTTTTGGACATACTTCAATATCTCAGAATATTATAAAGTAAGATACCCACGTTTATATTGTTATTATAAAATCACTATTATTAATAGTTTAGAAGTTTGATCTAAGTGCCCCGTGATGTAGTTGCATCACCTTCAGTAGGTTCTAGTTCCTCCTTATTTATTTATTGCTCTGTCCTCTGATTGGTTCATCAGCCCTCCTGTGGATACATCATCTGGTTCCCATAGGATGCAGATCAGTTTGTTCTCAGAGTCTTAGGGAACATCCATTGGCTCCATTATAACTGGAATTTTTTTTCTTTTCAGTATTTTATCCTTTTGCATTTCTATTATTTTTATTTTGTTGTTGTTGTTGTCATGAACCGTCTCCTGAATCAACAACCATTTTAAGGTGTTCAACATCAACTCTTCCCGTGCAGAGACCTTGACGCTGCAGACTCCATAAATGCCTTTCTTTGAGGAAAGGCTCGGGCCAGTTATTTTTCTGAAAGTGTACAAGCAGAAAATTACTTGATAAAGATGGGAAATAAGCAAACAATCTTCACTGACGAGCAACTTGATGCTTACCAGGTAAGATGAGTTGCTTTGCATCTTGTTGGAGGAGAGTATGATGCTTTCTACTTATAATTAAGAAAATAAAAGTCTCAAATTCTTACTAGAACATCTATTAAAAGTAGAGAAAAGGATTATGAAGAAACTATAGTCTTCTGTGGTTTTAATCAATGTTAAATAGCAAATGTGAGCATATATTATACTGCATTACTACTATATCAAAAAGCAAATTAAATATGTGTTAAATGTAGTTAATCCTGGACATTTTAATAGTCAAAATCCTGATCATTCTCTTTATAAACTGTGTTCAGTTTTGTCTCATGAGTTTGAATTAGATTCCATTTAAAAATCTAAACTGAATCACAATCCAATACCTTTTCTTGGGTTTCCTGTAACAATAATCCAGCATTTCTTGTGGGGATATACATCTTTATCTGCACAGGTTTATCATGTGATTCCATGTGGACTTAAAAATTAATGTAAAGTCAGTAATACACTGTGTAACTGTACTCTAGATCTCAAGAGCCTCTCTGGTTACTGAGGAGTCTCTGGTTTTCTGTTTGACTTGTGGTTGCAATTTTCTTTGTTTTAGTTTTTAATTCCACAGCATTTTAAAGTTTTTAGATTCATTCACACCACAGAGTCTTTAGCAGCTGCAGGTTTTTGATGCACTATTAAAGCTCCAACCTGATCTGGTTTGGGGTAATCCTGAGCAGCTGACAGCGTGCTGCTTCTTACACCCACGAGCACGGCTCAGACGGCTGAGCACAAAGAACTTGTGTACAGTGATGTGCTTCCTGTGGGGCCATCGGATAATACGTGTGCATGTCAAACAGCAGCAGATCATGTTGCTGTGTACACACACACGCACACACACACACACACACACACACACACACACACACACACACACACACACACACACACACACAGGCATTTTGAGAGAAGCCTGGCACCTCAGACAGCTTTTTATGAAAATGTAGAGGAACTCTGCTGCTCTCTAATGTTATTCACATATGTTGATCAAACTGAATTTATTTTATTTATGTTGCCTTATGCTCTTTTCTCTTCTTGCAGGACTGCACATTTTTCACTCGCAAAGAAATTTTGCGGTAAGACACACACAAACTAAATCTGATTGCTTCAAAGTGAGCTGTTGTGAGTAAACATAAATGTGGAGTATCAGAATTAAAAGTGAGGATCCCATTTGTCTAGCTTGCTGAGTTTAGAAGAAGGAAAGATCTTTTCTATAGCGCCTCTCAAGATAAAAATCACAAGGTGTTAATTTGAAATACAGCAGTTTACTGACTCATAACTTAAAAGAATGCCAAGCAGTTTTGGTTTGTTTTTAGCGCCCCCTAGTGTCCATTAAATAAACCAAAAGTGAAATATTTCTTCGCTGTGCGTTCATCTTTTTAATCTAACAGCTGAAATGTCTCTTCAGCCTTCACTAGTGGGAGCAGTTCATCACTTAATTAAACAAATCAGCTGTGTTCACGATCTAAAACTTGCAGGAAATGTGCTCCAATTTGTTTATTATTAATCCAAAGGTTTCTGTTGTGTCAGTGTTTTGCTGTGTGTTTGAATGTCACGTTCACCTTTTCACTGAGTTGTTGATGTCAGTGGATCCTGTTGAAAGTTCTGCTTCTTTCAAAGAACTTTAAAAACGACTAAGATACCTAGAGATAACACAATTCAGCGCATAACATTCCTACTCTGATCCTGACATCCACCCAAATTCTGACATTTCAAAACAACCGACTGGTGATATCACAAAGGGCAGATAATGGACCCATTTACGCTACAATCTCAAACATCCAGCATCAAAATAATTTTGAAGATATCCACAAAAAACATAATTATTTATTTTCTCCTGACAAATGAAAGAAATCCAGTGTTTTTGTTGTAGGTTGTTCTGCAAGACTAGAACCTGGTTGTCCGTGTCATACTTTCCACTTCCAATGTGTTTAAATTTCCACAGCTTATATGCAGTTCTGTTACGTCCCCGACATGAGATGGTAAAATGTGAAGGATGGGGATAACATAAGAACTGGACAGTGGATATTAAGATGGTTTTATTGTTGAAAAAGGTTCTAAAAACGAGCAAACAGAACTCTCTAACAGGTTAACATCACAACAACAAATTATCAACTATGAAAACACCTGGTTAAAACTTATGTTAAAAGCTTTACCGAACCGAAGGTGTTCAAAACTGAAGTCAATATAATTGTACCAAACAAAGTTAACCTTTAAAACGAACACAAAAAGATCCCACTGGATCACTCCAAAATCTCATCACTAAGAGTTAAAACGGCCAAAGTTTAAAACTCATCACAATGAGAGGAGTTATACCAAACTGAGACCTGGAGGACAGCAGAACCCCTGCACTGCTGCCTCAGACTGCTGAAGGCATATAGCCTTTTTATGCAGGTGTTTGCTCATCAGGAAGACTCAGCTCAGCTGTGCTCCTCAGCAGCCCGGGAGAGAGGAGGAGGAAGGGCGGTGTCAGGCTTATTCACTAGGGCTGGGTGATCCTGGCTCCTGCTCTTCACTGGCCAGACTGGCAACCGTAACAAGTTCATAGACAACAGTACTTATTCATATTCAACAGCCTGCAGCCTTTCCACAGATCCGATCTCTACCATTGAAGCAACGTGCTTCCATTTGCATTCTTGCCTTTGTAAAATGCTCCACCTGTAGGGTCTAAGTCTCGTTGTATTTCGAGATTTCACTGCTCATATTTTGAATCATGTATTGTCGTCGTAGTCCCCCCCCCCCCCCCCCCCCCCAAAAAAAAGTAAGTTGTGAAACTTAGAAGAGATTGCTAGAATCTGTTTTTCTATATTTATTCCAGATTGCATGGCAGATACCATGAGTTGGCTCCACATCTTGTACCGATGGACTACACCAATGAACCGGAATGTAAAATACCGTTAGCATTAATAGTGGACATGCCAGAATTAAAGGTAGGAGCCCCGCCTGCATACGTGCTTCCAATAAATCCTGTTGTATATCCTAACATTGTTCAAATGATCATCAAATCTTTGTATTTTCCAACAAAAGTCAGAAGTATGTGGCTTTATCTGGATCTTTCTACAAAAATGCAAATGTCACTCACCTCTTATATGGATTATCTAAACAATAACGACTTTGTTTTTAAGAACAGGAAATATTTTAAACACCATCAATATTTATTTGATTGCATTCCATGGGGAACTAAATGTTACTTTACCAGAAATGGAAGAAGTCATTAATATGGATTGGTTTTCTTGCTTTCTCAGCTTTTTGGTAGTTATTTTGAAATATGATTGATCACTCAAAGTTTAACATGCAGGCCAAATATGTAAATACTCTTCTACCCCTATTTCATTAGCTGGCAACAGAAAATAGAAGGGGGAATGCTCGGATTAGAAATGCCAACTCCACATCACATTGAAAACTAGCATTAACAGCCATCTTGGCTCACAACAGGGAAGGTTGTTGTTGATTTAGTGTCCTGGAGAGAGCAGAGCTAGCAGAAGGTAACCAATAGCATTAGCAACTCCACAACATGGAAAAACACCTTCAGGCTTGTGTTATTTTTAGAGATAAAACATCAGTGTTGCAAAGCGAATGGAGTCAGATGGTAGAGTTGTGTTGCTGTGAAGCTTGTTTTATGCTTGACGCATTCACTTTCAGCTTGGTGATGCTGCTCGCGGATGGAACGCGCTTCTCAACTCGCAGCGTTTATGGTTCATGCAGCTTGTCTCTGCAGTGAGCCAATATTCTCCCAAACTGAACGGGGCAGCATGGAGCTCTATGGCATGCATCCATCACTGCACCATAGTAGAAGTAGAAATTACTGTTGTTTACAACATGGCATTCCAGCTTTTTTTTTAACAGCGTCCTCGTCTTTTCCGACAGTGCGAGCTATTTCTCTCCAAGAATTATTAACAACATTTTGATCACGGTGATCTTTGAGAGCTGAATCATACAAATGTCTGTATTTACGAACCTCTGCCATACTAGTTCTTGCCAGTCCACCATGTTTTTCTGCGTCCGACCGTCCGCGTGGTTAGAAAATTTCCTAGGTGCGCGGTGTGGAAAGTTTGGGCCGTGCGGAGACGCGGTGGAGGGGCATGGTTGTTAAAATGACGCTACTTTTCCGCACGGAGCCGTGCGGACCTCGCGGACGCATCAAGCATAAACCAACCTTTAGCCCATCCTAGGTGAGATGTCTGTGTTCTGCCACACATCTGGCTACTTCCTGTACTTCTTGAAAAAAGGGCACCAGAGCTTTTTTCCTTCAGAGATTGACTTATAAGGCATTTGTTTATCATCCTAGAGACCACTGCAAATGTTTTGAAAAGATGAGTGAACTTGGTCTTTAAACATAGTCTTTATAATGCATGACCCTACCACCCTTGTGCTTGACAGTTGGTATTCTTCAGTTAGCAAACCTCGACTCCTTCAAACATATTTCTTAAAATTGTTTTGGCCAAATGGCTCAATCTTTGCATCACTTACCATAAAACTTTTCTCCCAAAGATGTTTATCTTGTCCATGTTGGCAGCTGCTTTTCTCACTTGAGCTTGACACTGGGACGGGGATACTGGCGACAGTGGCACAGGAATTAAGTGCTTGCCCCAAAATCGGGAGGCTGCAGGTTCAACTCACGCTCAGTCTATCACTGTCATTGTGTCCTTTGGCAAGACACTTAACCCAGCTTGCCTGCTGGCGGTGGTGGGACCGGTGGCGCCTGTGTATAGCAGCCTCGCGTCTGTCAGTGTGCCCCAGGGCAGCTGTGGCTATGTTGTAGCTCATCACCACCAGGGTATGAATGTGTGTGTGAATGGGTGAATGACTGATTGACTCCAGTAGGCGCTATTTCAAATACAGGCCATTTACCATTTACTGGTGTTCCAGCAGCTTTCTGTTTAGTTTCAGGGTTGAAAATAATAGTGTGACAGTGTGACCGTCATGTCACTGTATCCTGATTGATCATGCGCCCTGGCTGTTTAGCCACGAGGATGTCCCTTTGGCTGACTGGTTGGTGCGCATGACTCTCACCCGGGAGTCTGGGCATTGAATCCCGCCCGGGCCCTCGTTTCTCCATCTTGCCACATTTGGCGTTGTTGGCAGGATCCATGCTGTACTGTCAAGTAGGTCCATGGATTTGAAAATGTGTTGCACCCTGCACGGGAGCACGAGGACATGCTCATGGAAAGAGGGGGGAAGATGTGACAGTGTGAGTGTCCTGACACTTTATCCTGATTGATCATGCGCCCTGGCTATTTGGCTGACTGGTTAGCGTGCGTGACCCTCACTTGGGAGCCTGGGAATCAAACCCCGCCCGGGCCCTCATTTCTCCGCCTTGCCACAATAAGAAACGACTGCATAAAGGGCGACAACAACATCAGTCTCTCTTCAAATGATGGCTTGTTGAGTCCAAATGTGTCATCAAACCTATTAATTATCCATGGCATAAATTCAACGTTTCATCTATGGAGAAGAGAATATTGTATTCACAATAAACGTATAAACAGATGAAGAGCTTTTTCAGGTGAATCAGATGAGCAGTTTTTGTTTGCAGCACAAATATAAAACTACTTGGAAAAACCCAATATTTGCATATCTGTCAAATCTGTTAAGATGCCTTTTATTTTATGGAAATAAATGACCTTGGGTGGATTTACAATTATATGAAATTTTATAAATTCAATATTGTTTTACATGCAGGAAAACCCATTCCGCAACAGGATTGTAGAGTCATTCTCAGAAGACGGAGCAGGAAACCTGAGTTTCAATGAGTTTGTGGATATGTTTTCAGTTCTGAGTGAAACGGCTCCTAGAGAACTCAAAGCCATCTATGCCTTTAAGATATATGGTAAAAATTACCAAGTGGAATATAAAATGTTTGACATTTTCACCAGAATTTGCCTGAAATAAGTTAAATCTAATGTGGTAATAATGCAATTCCATTGCCATCCCACCATAGATTTTAATGTGGATAATTACTTGTGCAAAGAGGACCTTGAGAAGACTTTAAACAAGCTGACGAAGGAGGAGCTGACTAGTGAGGAGGTGGAGTTGGTGTGTGAGAAAACCATCGATGAGGCAGATTTGGATGGAGACAATAAACTCTCTTATTCTGACTTTGAAAATATGATAACAAGGGCTCCAGATTTTTTAAGGTAACTCTTGCAAGATAAATATAATTTTTAGTTTAAACACTTTAAATAGACTCAATGTGTGTAAATGATGATAATACAACTAATGTATCATTGTTTGTCCCTCATTTTGCTTGTTGGGTTCTTCCAGCACCTTCCACATCCGAATCTAAGATGATTGGATGGACAACTTCTTCCATCAGCAGCTGAATGAATCTCAGGACTCACATTCTGGTCACAATTGCTCTCTCAGTGAGAAAAATGGCATACAATAGTCCATCGTGTCTTCTTGAAAGGCTCTCACCAGTCTGAAGTCTGCTGAGTTTGAGGAGATTTTTAAATCAATGTTAGAGAAAATTCTTTCAGTGAATGGCATGACCAGATTTCTTTCTGCAAAAAATGTGTTTTCTCATTTTAAGATTAGAAAAATAAGATTACTATGAATAGGTCAGATGTTTTGACCTACAAAGACACTTAGACAATCAGTATTTATGGGTGAAGCTTGAAGTTTAAGTGCAGCAATGTTTTTTGTTAGCTTTCTGTTAGCTATGCAACCTTATTTGTATTTATGGTGTACCCTTTTGTTGTTAAATTGGCACACTATGTCATTCAGATGTCTCTATTCTCCATACAGACGTAGAGCTGTGTCATCTGACCTAATTTCATCAGCTTCTGTTTTCTGTCATTGCACCCATGCACTTGTTACAGCCATTGTCATGTCATAGCTTCTGATGTCTCAAGCTAATTCGAGTGCTTGCCTTTCTTTAAAACAGATTTTATTTGTGTTTGTGTGTTGCGGCACAATCAGGTGCTATTTACTGTAATTGTGTGTTTGGTTGTATGTTACGTGAAAATGAGAACATCCTTGAAAGCTTTCACCAAACTGACCAGCGTCTTTAATGAGCTCATAAGCAGTTCATCCAAACCCACCCACTCAAAAAGATCAGGTCGTCTACTAAAAATCAGGAAGTGACTGTCTGTCCATCTGCCGTCGTATTTAATAACTTGAAACAGAGGATGTGAGCTGTCAGAAACACAATTACTTCCTACACACTTAATCTCAACAGGAAGTAACAGTCGCTTATCCATCCATCCCTGCTCATCCAGAACATTCTCCAGAACAGGGTCACATCCCAATCCACATCTATGGTCACAAGCTTTGGGTAGCGATGGTCGTCACCAAACGAATGAGATCGCAGATACAAGTGACTGAAATTAGTTTTCTTCACAGGATTTATGGACTCTCCCTTATAGAGATAGGGTGAGAAGCCCGGTCATCCAACCAGGAGTTGCAAATCAACCCTTTTCTATTGTAATGCAACATTTGAATGAAAACGTTGCAGGTATTGGTCTCTGTCTGAACCAAACAACTATCCTAGTAGTTTGAAACTTTAGTTTAAGCAATAGAAAACAGCTTGAGTTGTGGTCATTGTTAAGACGTACTAAACCTTTATAAGATGCACTCACATCACATACTTGTGCATTTGAGTAAGTGTTTGATTAATAGTAAATAAAATGGATACTATAAATGTCCTGCAGGGATCAATTATCCATGCAAAGCCTCATTTGAGCAGAAGGTGGAGGATTTGTCTAAAGCATGGTGTAGTCATTAGTGCATCCTGGCATTACTTTCCTCTGTTGAGAAGCATTTAAACATAGCTCAATAAAAAAAAACTCAAATTAACATGGAATGTCCTTTTATATTTTTTTATAATTTTTTTTTCCCTATAACATGTTGTTGCTTAATGTAGCCTAACGAGCTGTTTTTGATGTTGTCATGACACAATTTTCCTTTTGTTTCATCTTCCGATTTGACATCAGCTGAGTGAATTTCCTCACAGCTTTGCTACTCAGTGGCTCCACTGTGACAAAATCAGCACTGCTATCTGTCTTGACTTTGCACCGTTCACAGGTTGTGTTCCAGTGGTGCATCATCACAAAGGATCTGGGTTGTGAAATAATTTTAGGTAAAGAAAATGTCACAAAGTTGTTGATCTGCTGAAGTGACTTATTGACATTTTAACACAGCCCTGTACGTGACTTAGAGGGGAAAAACTTTCCATTCTGATTCCTCTCACATGCAACAGTGCATTGACTTTAGCATGGAAAAATTCAAAGCTGTTAGCTTTATTGACTTCACTAAAACTATAAATGATCATTAGCAACTATGGCTCATCTCTTTGTTGTTGCCACATTTGTTCAAAAACTGCATGCCAATATAGCTGCTGTGCCAATGGCAAAAAATAAATTGTTTCAAGGATTAGCTGTAAGGCCAGGGTTTCAATTACAGGAGGGCTAGGGGGAGCCCTGCTCCCCCTAAAGGGTGATGGAAACCAAAAAATGGTCTTGTTTCAACCTATCAAACTTATTTATATGAACTCTCTGTGTACAGGGACACACACTGTCATGTTCTGGGGTGGAGATGGTGGACCATGTGTGGTGGTGGGTTTCAGGAGGCAGAAGAGCAGGCAAACGGATGAAAAAATAAAAATATGTTTAATTGTAGAACGGGAGCGACAGGACAAACGAACATGCACAAACAACAATGAACCGACAAAGACAGCAACAAGGAGGGCGGTAAAAAAACACAAGGGAATCAGGAACACATGGGCAGAGTAATGAGGGACAGGTGAGAACAATAAGGATAATCATGGCAGGAGAGACACAGTCAGGGAGGACAGGGGCGGATAATGACACACACACACACACACACACACACACACACACACACACACACGCACACACACACACACACACACACGCACGCACGCACACACACACACACACACACACACACACACACACACGCACGCACGCACGCACGCACGCACGCACACACACACACACACACACACACACACACACACACACAGGAGGTGATTGGATGGATGAATGCCTCTCCCATCTTGTGGGCTCCCCCAGAAGCCTGTGTGTAATTCAAACTTTGCATAAGCTGTTTGAAGAATTTCCATGGAGAGTGTGTTTCATATCCCTGGATGTTCCTGCATGACCTCATGTTTTATTCCTGCACTTTGCAATGGAAACCCACAGGGACAGTTTTCTTCCCAGGCAGGTTTGGTAGTTATATTTTGAACACAAAAATACAGATGCTTCCCACAGATGTCATCTACATTTCCTCACAACTGAAGCTCTCTATTATCTAACTACGTTCAACTCACACTTTGTTACACCAGAACAGCAAGATGTCGCTGCATTAGGGGCAAAAAACCTCTACCAACACTTTTTAATGCTAAATTGATGGAATATATGACTTAATCTGAGCAAAGTGAATTTAACGTTTGTTTCTGCTGTTGTGAGGCATAATTTGAATAAACTGCCAGTTATCCATCTTCCTCTCTTGCTCATGTACTTGTCCTCATCACAGGTCAGCCACTAACTCACTTTAATTATTGTTTTCCAAAGAAAGCTTCAAACAGCTCTCATTCACTAAAAGTGGTTTATAAAATGGTTTTAGCAAAATAAATAAGTAAAATATTTACATCTTTTCCCAAATCATTAACAGAAATATATTTTGACAATTTTTAATAAATAAACTTAAAGGAAAATGTACAACAGCTGAATTATGTATGTTGAAAAACAGTTGTAGAGTATCAATTTGAATGTGTCATAGTAGTGTCTAATGAGTGGTGTAAACATTTCTTTGTTGCTAAGGCGACAGCCACTATTTCCTCTTGGATTCAGGGAAGAGCCATTTCCATTTGTCATTCTGCAAGAATAAAACACATTAGAGGATTTTACATACAACAGTAACAAAACCCAAACCATAGAGGATTTAAAATAAGCATTGCTAACCTTAATTCCCCAGGACGAGTTGTTGATTTTGCGTCTGTTGTCCTCCACGGGTTCGTACGTGTTGTGGTGTTTTGGCTTGGCGGGCTCCTTGTGGTCGGGCAGCAGCTCGTACGTGCTGTCGATGTTGATGACGGGGGATTCAAAGCCAACCTCAGCATACAAAGAATAGTTCTGCTGCTCTTCCTTTGAGGATCTAAAGGTTGTTGGGCCGACCATGTGATAGACTGCATTGCACGTCATGCCGTCCAGACTGTGGCTGCTTTTTGATTGTGGCGTGCAGTTGGTGACTGGTCTGACTGGTTTGGGAGAAAGTCTTGGTGGGGTGCTGGGAGGCATGCTCAGTCTGTAGGACTGCTCACCATCGAACATGCTGTCCAGCAGCGGCAGAGACTTGCTTTTGGTATCCAGGGGGTTGAGCTCTGAGTAAATGGCCTCTGGTCCTGATGGAGGACTACTTCCGCCATTGTTCTGTTTCTTGACCATCAACCTTTCAGCTTTCCTTGGATTAACTCCAGGTAAACTGTCCTGTGAGATCTGTGGGCCTCGTGGACTGTCTTTGACTGTATGCTTCTTGAGCTGAGCATACAGACTTCTTTCTTCATCCGTGAAGGTGCTGGCATCCAATTGCCTGCTTCTCTGTGGTAAAGGCGGTACTTCCTGTCGTACAAAGCAAACCAGAGTTTTAGTGTCAGCTACAAGGAAGGAAAACAGGATTTTTCAGTAGAATCTTTGAGGAAAGCATTCGCGTAACCCAAAAACATCCCTCACCTGGTGGTCTGCACTCGAGTGAAGTTGCTGCTTTTGTAAGTTCTTTGCTGTTCTAAGGACAGAAGCTGGCTTTTCTTTAGGGTTGACCTGAATTGTGTCATAAAGGTCTTCATTCTGATCCTGCAAGAGCAAAGCATCAGTTAGTCTTCAGTCACATTGAGTCTTCTTTAAAGAATAATAATTAAAGAGCTGTATGTCACCTTGCAGCATGGATAAGTCAAATACTCCCCAAAGGGCTCGATAGGGCTTGTTTTATAGTAGTCTATTAGATCAAGCATAGTGCTATGTCCCTCTGTGTCTCCGTGAACTTTGAACTTTCCCACTTCAGACTGGCTGATCAAAAAGTGTCTGCAACGGTCTCTGCCTCTGCATTTGGAGGTAAAAAATAATTAGTTATGAAAAACGGCATAAAAATGGCAACATAAATAAATGGTAAAATACAAACAGAAAGTAACAATACGATTGTTGCAAAGAGCAAAACTATGGATAAAACGAGTGATTTGGGACTTTTGCAGCCTGAATGTCCACTAATAAAATAAGGCACTAAAGTATAAACAGCACTAAACAAATGAGTTTAAAATATCATCCAGTTACTTATGATGTTGGTCATTTTCATAATTTTAAAGAGGCAGAAGTCTTGTTAAACAAATTACTGATAGTTTAGAGACATTTATAGCATAAATATCCAAAAATATCCTCCAGAAATATTTTTAGTGCTGCTCATTTTCATAATTTTAAATGCATAGACGCCATTTTACATGCTGACCATAAAACACGGAAAACACTCCAATCGTTTTTAACATAACATTTAACGTTTTTCAGTGAAGTACTCACTTGTAGGACAGAATGTATCCGATGGCTTTATCACTGAGACGGATTAAGAAACATCCCAGTTCCTTTTCTCTGAGTACATTCTCAGCATCTCTGTGACAAAACAGAAATCATATCATGAAAATCTACTTAGATTCAGTAAGATTTTGTGTTTTACTGGAGATTTTTTCACATTGTCTTTGTCAGCAGAGCAAGGCAAAATCATGAATTCTACCATGGAAATTACAACATTATGAAGGAAAACCCATTCCGCCTTAAGATCTTTCTAACAGACACAACTGTCCTGCATGTGTTTTTGTTTCTCTTGAAGGTGTGTGTGTGTGTGTGTGTGTGTTTGTGTGTGTGTGTCTTTGTAAAAGGCCAAAGGTGAAACGTGGGTGATAGCCTACCACAAAGTGGACACATACATCAGAGGGGAAAAGTGTGTTCTCTGCACAATAGCTTCTTTTTCCATTTTACTTTTATGGAAAACAACATATAAAATAGATCAGTGGTTTCCAACTTTTTAATTTCTGACCCACAAAAATACCCCAAAGTCATCCCGAATGACCGTGGTTGACTATAAAATAAAACCACAATGACAACAAAAGAGAGCCATCAAATCAGTCATGACACCATTAATTAAATATGGCTTCTGTTTATAATTTATGACAAACGTATTCTATGATCTCAACAGATTAAGTCAAGACCTAGGTGTCTATAATCCACACAAGGCTCCCAAACAGTACATCGGAAACTGCTGAAATATCCGGTGTAGTTTCTGATTCGTACATTTTTGTTGATGTAAATTCAAGGTATTTGTTGGCATGTTAAGCTGTTTCCTTGTTAAGACTTACTTCCTGCTGATGAAGCCCATAAACCAGGAAGGGAAGAGGCCGTTGTTGACGATGAGAGGCAGCTGAGTGTCTATGAACCACTTGGAGGCCAGTTCTCTGAGCCTGCCTTCGGTTCCTTCCCACACTGAGTCCCCCGCTGGTTCCCTTTGCTCCATCTTCTCTCTGTCCTGATCAAACAGCACAGCCAGGCTTCTAGTAAATAATGCAATCTGCATTTCCTTCCCAGAGAATGGTGGTTTTTCAGCTGTCTGATTTGCTTATTTTCCAGGAGGCGTTAACCTGAGCCTGAAAGCAGCTCAGTGTTCTCACTGTTGTGCCACAGGGAACAACTTCCAGTCTATTCCGTGTTTGCTGTTGTTTGTTGCTGAAAATTTGTTTACAGTGACATAAAGTAGGAACGTTATGACGGTGACCAAACTGTGAAAAGTCGTCTCACTCAGTGAGTCTGTGACCGGTTCTGGTGAGGTCTGGGTGTGGTTCTTACCTTCACACGAGTCCTGTAGCCGGGGGATTTGGTTTGATTTGGATCTGTTGGTCTTGAATGTGAAAAGTGGCAGATATTGTCAGATCTGGCTTTCTGTTGTCGGCACAGCGTGCAGCAGCTCCTCTCAGCCCCTGAAAAAGAAGTGTAAAGCTGATGAAACAGTTCACGTTATGTATTTATGTAAAGTATTTACCAGCAGAGAGACGTACCTGTCCTTGTGATTACCACGGAGTGGGTCGGTGTCATCTCAGCGAACAGGAACGTTCTTCTCTTAACTTCTGAACCCTCTGTAAACTCCAACTGAAAGTGTTTTGAGTGTGACCCGCCTGGGAGATATAGACAGATGACATTTACAATTACATATATTTTTCCACCGGTCTGGAAAGCGGAGACACCCAGCAACAGACTTGACAGAGCTCATTTGCATAACAAAGGCAGCTGAAGGTTGCGAGAGCTTCCTGAAGAGAAATGGAAAGCAAAGGTGGTTGTGTGCACACGTCTGCACTGGTTTGCAGGAGGGGCTGTTGTACCCACGGAGCGTCTGATTACCGTATGATGGGAGACGAGTTGCGTCAACAGCTCATCTCTTGCGTTTCATACAGTAAATTCAGATCACTGTTTATGCGACAGGACCAAACAGGCGGAGGGATGGAAACACTAAGGATGCTTTGTTTTTAAAAATGGCTTAAAGAGGTTTGGATTGTTTTTGATGTTCTTGCCATAAACTGGATAACTACCCCCACCCCCCCACCCCCCCACCCCCACCCCCCCCACCCCAGCTTAGCATGCATGAATCATCTAGTTTTATGTTTGTGAACAACAGTAGGAACTTCTGGAGTGGGGGGCCAATAACTAGAAAAAGTCTGTCATAGTGAGAAAAACAAGACCACATTTTCAGATGTCCCCATTAAAGTGAACAATAATCATCTGATTCCTGGAAGTTATTGTGATTTTATTCTAGTGTTCCATTAAACACCGAGGTCACAGATTAACCAGTAACTGTACTGTGTGTCACTAACAGTCGCTACAGTAACACAACTTTACATTTCAACACACCCAAAGGGCTTTTGTGAGTCATCACACGCCCCTCTGGGGAGGAAAAGGGAGGTTTGAGGTCACTGCTTATCACCGGTTCCAGAATCAGGTTCATGAACAAATGTTGCCATGCAGACTTAGAGCAAACACT